AGGAAAAGGCAGTGCTCTGCATGGAGAATGATGGTGAAAATGATACTCAGTCTTTGGGTTTGAGGGAGATTGGATTCTTGTATCTAAATCCATTTTTAGAGGCACACAAGAAAAATTAGTAGTAGTTCACCTGACAAAAAGAAAGCTAATTGCCTTTATTTGGCAAACAGCTTATGAGATATCAGAGAATTAAAAAAAAAAAAAAGTAAGGAAGTACATCAAAACAAAGATTGAAACCCCTGGATCTCAGCATGTGTTTACAGGGTACAAACTTTATGTACACATAGACTTCACAGTTACATAAACTACGGGCACATGGACTATAATAGTCAAAGTGGGATCCAGGACAACAAGCTTGCCTAGCCTGATCTACCACGTAAGACAGATTTTCAGGTCTTACCACTTGAATTCTTGTTTGAATTAGACCATCTCTTGCTAATGCTGCTACCCTTGAATCTGTAGCTTTTAATAAGTCTACTGAAGCCTAAGCTTGAATTAGTTCTTTGCTGTCAAGAAACTGTCTCATTTGCATTATGAATTTACCAAACTTTTAACTACTGAATCTTACACATTTCTCTTAAGAGGTTGACATACCCTATTACCCAGTTTCTGATCCCTATCTAATTAATTTAATCTGATCAAGTTATCCTATGAGATAATCTAAAGATAGGTTGCCATCAGACCCTATGCTGAATGGAATTCACAGATCCATAGGAATGCAGCAGACACAATAACATCAGATGAAGTACAAAGCTCATTTGCAAAGCAGAGAGTAATTCATCCCTTATTCACTAACAGCATCAGAGATAAGAGGAAGTCAGTTCCATACTGGTTTGGTGTTTTTCACCCTACTGCAAATTCACATTTGATGGACTACTGAAAAAATGAAATGCCGACTTGTATTAGTCACAAAGGGTTAGCACAAGAAAATATTAAGACTACTGTCCTGTGGAGCACACTGCTCCCCCATTGTAATCTGCTTCATGTAAAAAGTAATGAAGGACATGGCATAAGAACCTCAAACAGCCACATTAAGTTGGCTGAGACTTTACTCCTAAAAAAATACATAATTAAAAAAAAAAATCAATACTTGACTAGTACTTTCTACCTGTGCTTGATGGGTCTTTATTAGAAGCATTGTTGTTATTACTGAAGTTTCCTCATTTGTTTTTCTGAAAGTCTATATTACATTGCACATATCAGAAATAATACATTATTCAGTGGCAGTTTCGGGAGCTGTCCAGAGGATGGAACAATGCTGAAATTTCAATTAAGTTTGGATGTAGCGCCGAGACCTTTATGGCAGACTCCCAGAAACCAATGTACAGATCATACATGCATGGCATGGGGCAAAGACAGAACTCTTATTACTTTCTCCCTCATCTACTGAAGTCTCTCAGAGACAGTGGCTTACAGATGGTGCTGCACCCAGCCACAGCCCAAGCAGTAATATAATCTCCCCCTCTTATCAGCCTCTCTCTACAAACCTTAGCAACACTGACCGCTATGCTGGACAAATTCTGGCCAGATAATTACCAATCATCCCCAACTACTCCAACACAAATCTCATAATGGCAGTTTCTACAGTACCACTAAAATTAGTTGTGCTAATTACAACTGCCTTTGCCAAAAGAACCAGGTTCTTTCCAACTGTTTTTCCTTTATCCCTAGCTAGGTCAGGTAAAAAAAAGCAGGCTTTATACAGCATGAGGACTCCATCAATTATGGCCTTCCATTGGCATCTCCTTCCTCACCAATAAAAAGGTGCCGTACAAGTCCATCAAATCCACTTAAATTTAAATTCCTCTGAACATTTCCTAGATATACCAACATGCTACAGATCCCACAAAACTTCATCCCCTGAACTACCTTGGTGGTCAGAGAGAATCACTGGAGATTCATTCTGTGTGAGTCACTATTTCTCATTTATTGCTTGGGAAATTACTTAGAAATTTAAGGTAAGAATAATTTCATTGGGGGAAACTACTTCTGAATGAAAGTTATTCAGAACTAAATCCATGCTGTGTTGTACTTCCCAATTTTTGGACTGGCATGTAGTTAGGATTGAAGCAGGCATTGAACAATGTCTAGAAGAAATATGCCTGGACAGCCCAAACTTACATCTATCTATAAGATCCTAAAGCAACAGCAGCTTCTTTCACAGGCTAAAGGAAAGAGTTACATGCCAATAATTCTATACGAAAGCATACACTATGCTTGAACAATGCCAGTGAACTAAGCAATAAAAGAGAAATGCTCTATCTGTCCAAAAGAGGTTCGAAGCATTTTTGTCTGAAGAGAAAAAACTGATCACCTCTGCCCCAGCTGTGGAACTGCCTCAGGCCACAGCAAGAGCTGGAAACTGCTGTTGCCACCTCGCGGGCTCCATGCTGACTGCTAAAGGATACGCACTTCCAGCCATTTCCTGAGAGTGGACAAGCGCTAGTGTCTGGGCGAGCAGAGACTCTCAAGTCAGCGCGCTGAAGACGTCCATTTACACTTGAGCATTCCTCCAGTAGAAAGCCTCCAGGAAGGAACAGAAGTAATCTAATAATATCAAGACAGTGGAAGCTGTGCGTAAGCAAAGATAGCCAGCTGACATGATCCACTTAATCGGGTTGCAAAACCATCTTTTAAAGAGCAGAGCAGAAGATCTTTTCCTTAGAAGTGGTTATCGGTGGCCCATTTTAGGAAGAAAGCAAGAACATTAAAGTAGTATTGGACTGAATTAATTTCCTTCAGCTTGAGCAGAAGGCATTAAAATGACTTTCCCAGCATTTCTACAAGGATGTACAGCAATTTACCTGAGGACTCAACTTGTCTTTCTCACTAAAATGGCTATCAGTGACAGCTAGTTTAGTGAGAAAGAGCTCAAAGTTCTTGATTAACTAGCGCTCTCCTTTCTCCCCTCAAAAATGGGAGAGTTTTTCCATGCCAAATGGAAGACATTTAACCAAAGACCTCACAGGAATTATTGCTTCCATTTTCAGCACCTAAGTCATAAAAAGCACGGAAAGCCAGAGGGAGAGTGCACTGTTGCAATTCAGCAGCTGTGCAAATGCAGTCCAGGAATTTTGCTGTTAGAACACTCCCTCAAATTGCACTTTCTTCACAGTTCATCCAAGCTACATCTCCAACCAGACCAGAAAATAACATACAATCGCCTACAAAACATCATCAAGCTTAGCAAAAAATCAATGGCTTGAGATCAAAATACCTAAACTCCAACTTTAACACAAAACTCCAAATACTCAGAAGCTTTTGAATCCTGCTGTTTAATACACTAGATATAACAACTTATTTAAAAAAAAAAAAAAAAAGGAGAAAAAAAAAAAGCATTAACACATTAACAGTAACATCTGTAGTCAGTTGCCAGACAAGTCAGTGCTGGACCAAAATTCTTAGCTTGACTTATGGATTAGATGAATGCAAGGCTGCAGTGACTTCAGAAAATTCAGTGCATATCTCCTTTCATTAGCACAGAACACACACATCCCTGGGCTGCCACCTTTAATCCCTTTATAAAAGGAAAAGCAGAATAAATGCACCTGGAGAGCAGGCACCTAGATTGGCTGCTTTCAGCTCTTCCACAGGACTTGAGTGGTATTTTATGGCATTTATCCATGCTACCAGAAGCAACTGTTGCACGTGTTGGGAAACCATCACACACTATGGCAGTAAGACTGAACAAGCAGCAATATTTGCATGAAGTAGAGATTTACTACTGTGGTAACACTGGATCCCAACGCCAGGTCATGCACAAGTGGGAAACACATCAGGAAACAGGTCTTCAAAAACAGAGGCCAGAGAGAAAGAACCTGGATCCAGGTAAACATGACACCCTAAAATAAAGGCCTGTAACTCAATGCATGGATGTGGTGCCATGTTTTCTAGTGTAAGTGAAAAATCATTAAGAGTTTCTCAAAGGAAATTTCTCCCATCAGAACTCTAGCTCCATAATTGAGAGCAACACACTTCTAAGTTTATCTGGAATAAACAGAAAGCTCAGCATCGCTCAGCATCGAGGCAATACTTTCAGGCCAGAGAAATTAATCTTAGTTCACGCCTGTCTGTTCAACTTAACACTAACTATTTTTGCAGCTTCTAAACAAGAAAACTAACAGCAGCTGAAACACTCTCAAATCAGCATCTGTATGAATAACCTGACAGCTCTAAGGAGTGATGGAAGGAGAAGGAGATGTTCTACCAAAACTGAAATGATGACCCATTGCAGGGATGTTGTTTTTAGAAAGAATTTCTTTTCAAGGAGAACTGAAGTTATTGGAATATTCATATTATCCACCATCAGCCCTGACCCTCTCAATCCAAGCAAGAAGTGAGAGAGACAGGGACACTTTGTGAAGGTCAGCAGTTAGTGGGTGAGACACTGGGTACAGTCCTGGAGGGACCATTTCTTTTGGTAGTGCACGAAGTTTTTCACATGTTGGTGCTCATCCTGGACTGGCTGTTAGCTGGAGTAAGCTCCCCTTGGCTACCTTCTCTCGGAGGAGACTGCAACAAGACCAAAACGCATCCTAATTAGTGATGTGTAAATATCCTCCAGAGTGCTTCTTGAGAGACCAAATGAAGCACAGATGAAGCACAGCAGGATAACAGCACGGGGAGAGCATACCCCCAACTCATAATGATGGCTTTGCAAAAGCTTTGTGTTTACAACTCCTATTGTTATAGTTCACAAGAACTGTTCCTAAAAAAGTCAACCCAGAACTTTTAAGCCACTCTTATTTACTATGTACAAGGTGCTGTTGGCCCCAGAAGTTGAATCCTTGAATCCTATCTAGCATTTAGTTATCACAGAGATTAATATACAACAGAATTTAACATGTTATGTGGCAGACAGCCTATCCTCCCTAAGGGCATTCTTTGGAACTGCATCCCAGAAGGAATACTCCAAGCAATTCATGCATTTTTTGCTTCCTCTACTAAAAAAAAAAAATATTCCTTCAAACAATCTTTGTTGTGGTCAAAGATACATATATCAAGAATTAGTCAGAATTAATTAGTTAGAATCAACCCAAATATATAACCTTCAAAGAACATTGTGTTGTACAAGCAGGTCAATGTATTGGCTAGAAATGCTTGTTCCTTATATATTTAGTATTTACTATTGGAAGAATTTGCCCAGTCATGACCACAATAAATCCATTCCCCTCCAGAATCTTCAATTCACCAGCTTCTATAGTTTCAGTTAAAAAAAAAAAAAAAATCAAAAATCTTAACCCTGTCTCAAAGTCCACATCTGACACGCCCATACCTTGACATGTATCTGGTTGCGCAGGACTGCAGCTCGCAGGATCATAGCTTTGGCACGTCGCTGAAACTCTTTGCCCATTAGTAAAGACTTCTCAAAAGTTGTGCTGCGCTGATCTACATCTCGAGCATAAAGAATCTGTAACCAATATAGAGAACTGTATGCAGGAACTATGACAGGGTTCCACAGCAGGAAGCCCTTTTTGTGCAAGGGAACAAAGCTAAGGTATTGTGGAGTCTGAGTTTGCACACAGATCAGCCCTATTGAAAATACCAGTCACAACAGATGAATGCAACTTCAAAGTGTCCCAGGGACTGAGAGTTTCTAATCTTAGTACAGCTGTTCAGTCTACAATCTGTAGCTCAGACGCACTCACCTTACTGTGCGAGTCTATTCTGGCATTGATCAGTCCCTCCAGGATCAGCTGAGTAAGTTCATCTTCCAGAGCAGCCACTGTGGTATTAAAAGCAGTGGCCATCTTGCGCATATCTGCCGACACATAGGGGCTGAAGTACTAGGAAGGAGAAAACATTCAGTTGCCAAGTGAACTCCCCGCCCTCTGAAAAACCATGGGAAAAACAATTACAAAGAGATGGCCTATCTCACTGTTCATCCACCTCTCAGGATTACAGGAACAATTACCTGGATAAGGGCACGATTTCGAATCTGGGTATAAAGTGTCCTGACATGAGGTGCAAGGTACATATCCAGCAGCAGGTTGTCCTGTGCAAAAAAACCCAAACATCAGAAGCTGAGAAGCAACCTGGAAAAATGTATTATTCCTATGTTCTGAAACATGTATGTACATTCTCAAATCTTAAGGATATTACACTACAGCAAGACAGTATCACAAAACAAGAATGAATAAAAGAACTAGCAATTTATTTAAAAACCTATCATTTCTCTTCACCCTCTACTGCTAAACTACTCCCAATTTCCATTCATCATATCAGGAGACAGGAGACACAGAAGAGCTCAACACTCTTAGCTACTTTTAGCAGTCACTGCTTCTCATAAAAAGCTAGGCGAAGTGAACTTTTAGGGCCTGTTCTACACTGCTCCTCGGCAACTCACCTTCATCTCATCCAGCATCTTCAGGCATGAAGCATATTTAGATTCATAAAACTTGAAGATAATGTCACGAACCTGTGGCTCCAGCTCCAAAAACAATTTGAAGGAGCTACAGATAAAGATGGCAGTAGTCAGACATTGGAAGCCACCACTTAAGTACCCCACAACCCCATCACTCCAAGTTGCAAGGTTACAAAGATTCCAAGATTTACTCTCTAACAGGCCAGACAGCCCATTTTCAGCAGGGCTGGGGGCCTGGAACACAGAGAGATGCAGCGCAGCATCAGAACTGTGGTGAAGGAAGGCAGGAGACTTTTGACAAACCAAGCAATGAAAGTGTATGTCCACACAAAACAAAAAAAATGTGTGGGTATAGGTCAAAATCAGGGCACGCCACCAGAAAACATAGGCCACATCTGTGCATGCACTGTCTGTTGTGGCCAGCTTTGTGTTCCCTTTCAAAATACAGCTTTCATTAAGTACAGCATGCTATAGGGAGGTTAAGCATGCAACTGTCTCAGGAAAATAACCTATCATAAGTGTGAGAGATCTTTGGGATGTACACAAAAAAAACACTCTTTCTCAGCACTCTCCCAATTCTCCATCACAGATTTCCACACCTTGGGATCTCACCCTAAGAATCAGCCAGTAAAAAAGTCAGGGTAACAACCCTTTTTTCACATCAATTTAAAATTAGTGCTTCTATACACTTAGCTGACAAGAATTCAGTATCATTGTAATTCAATCTATGACATGCAAATATCCATTTTCTTCCAAAGACTGTAATTGTCTTAACCTTGTTTATGTCATAGTTAGATCACACTGCAAGTTGTATTAACAATTATTAAATTGTATTAATACGATAAACATACACCAGAACAAGCGGTAACACGAAGGCAAATTATCTTACAGATGCCTTCTGTAGGGTTCTATTGCTCTGATTTAATATTTGATATGGACCACTGATGAAGACTGAAAATTGGTCTAGGAAGATGTTGGATTTGAGCTGGGTTGGAAACTTCTGTCACGCTGTGAAAATTTCAGCTGTGATTAACCACTGTCTTTTAGACAGTGAAACATCACTTAATGCTAAAGCCAAACTAAGGGGCGGTGATTCTTTTTCTCCTGATAAGAAAGCTATTACTCCTGCCAGAATCCACTGTCAACCAAAGTCCCATGTCCCAAAAGGTGTCGAGTACATACAAACTTTTCTCAAGGCATCGCTTACCTGCTGGAGATAACATTTCGTTGCAGTTCCTGACGGTCAAAGGTAGCAAGGGCACAGAGACCACCATACACAGCTACATTGCTAGGAGATAACAGCTAGAGAGAAAGAGAGAGAGCGAGCAAGCCGTCAGTGACTATTAAAATGGCAGAAGGTTGGTATTAAGTATCCTACTCCAAGCCTTTCCTTCACACAGCGACAAGATTAGTCCTTGTCAAA